CAGGGCCCGCTGGCACGGCCCGTAGGCACGGCCCGCGTGCCCAACGGCCATATTACCGTTTAAAAGCAACGACTAGTTGCTTAATTAGCCAAAAAAACGGCTACTTAACGGCTATATTTTTGCCAATTTGCTCCCCAAAAATTCTATAAATACCCACCTCCATTTCATTCCCAAATCACAAAATCACAATCTTTTCTTCTTATCTCTTATATTCTCTAAATCTCTAATAATCCTTATTTTCTTAAATTCTCTAATTATTCTCTTAAATTCTCTAATTATTTTCCTAATATCGGAAAAAATTAAAAAGTTCGTAATCGTAATTAGTGGAGCGTTGAAGCACGGTTGTAAGATCTAAACTAATCTTAAATTTATTATTGTTTTATTCTTATTATTAGAATAATCTTGTTTAATTATTATTGTTGTTAATTGTTATTGTTGTTGTTATAATTGTTGTTATTAATTATTATTATTATTGTTACAATTGTTGTTATTATTTATTTTTGTTGTTATTGTTATTGTTATAGTTGTTGTTATTAATTATTATTATTAATATTTTTATTGTTAAAATTGTTGTTATTAATTATTATTATTATAGTTAACCACTTTTTATTAAAAAATTAATTTTTAATTATGGCATCGAACAACCCATCATCTAGGTCTAGGGCGAAAGGCCGACTTACCCGTAGTAGTAGTTCTAGGGAACCACCAAATACAACGAGCCCCCAAATTTCGAGTCAAACCAATGACCCCATTTACTTTCCCCCGGGCTATGAGCCATATAATATGTCGGGATTTCAACCACCAAACCAATTTCCACCACCACCACCAAACCAATTTGGGCAATTTCCACCACCACCACCAAACCAATTTTCACCATCAAACCAATATCAAAATCCACAACAATTCCCACAATTCGGTCAATTCCCACCTAATTATATCGGTGATCAACAAAACTATTGTTCTAGCCAAGTTAGCCAAGAAAGTACCCAAATTCCCTCCGGTTCTACCCCTTCTACTGCCACTACTAACGCAGACACACATCATGAATGGTTAACCGAAAGTGAGATGGTACTTTTGAAAAACCGAAGGAGTGAGGTATGGCGTTATTTTGTCCTAAATAAACAGGGTCAAACATATGCAAAATGTAAAACATGTAATGGTGTATTCACGGCATTTACCAAAGCCGGGACGGGACACTTAACTAGACACATGAAATCTTGTGCAAAACCAGCTAGTGATCCAACCCAGCCCAAAATTTCCCAATTCCATCCATACGGCTTTACATACAACTATGAGAGGGATAGGGATGAACTAGGAAAAATGATAGTACACGCCGAACAACCTTTTCTTTTCTCGGAAAGTGACCCATTCAACACCTACATTAACAAAGCACTACAACCCCAACATAAGAGAATCTCTAGGAAAACTGTTCGTTCCGCCGCAATGAAAAATTTCTTAGAGTACAAAGTCCGGTTACAAGCCGAATTGAGTAACCTTAACTGTAGAGTATCTTTAACAACCGATTCTTGGGATAGTGGTTATAAATATCATTGTTTATGTGTGACTTTCCTTTGGGTAGATGATTAATGGTTGTTACAAAAAAGAATAATACATTTCAAAATGCTGGAATACCCACACACCGGCATTAACATTGCTCACCATTTAATGCAAGCAATAGACGAATACAACCTTCGAGATAAAATGATGTCTATGACTTTTGATAATGCAACCTCTATGACATACCCAGCTAATCTTATCAAACAAAACTTAACCGATGTACTATTAGACGGTGAAGCTCTTCATACTAGATGTGTTTGCCATGTACTTAACTTATGTGTACAAGATGGAGTTCGGGCAATTGGCCCATACTACAGCAAAATCAGAGATGCTATTATGTCTATTAATAGCTCTAACATAAGATACCAAGAATGGAAGAGTTTTCTAAAACAACAAAAGATAAGGGTAATAAAAATTAGAACCGATTGCCCAAGTAGGTGGAATTCCACCTATGACATGTTAACAAAGGCAATTGAGTACAAGGGCCCGTTAACATTATTTTACAACCAAAAATTTCCACAAAATGCTTTGTATGATGATGATTGGAATAACTGTGAAAGATATATGCAATTTTTACAGTTATTATATAACATGACGTATTGTTTTTCTACTGTTTACAATCCTTGTGCTCAAAACTTTCTTTCTAATGCATGCTTACTCGCCCAACTTTTCGCTGATCATCGCCATCAAAGTGATTATGATCAGTATCTTCCAGCAATGGAAACAAAGTGGCGTAAATATTATAGTGAAATTCCTTTGATTTATATTTTTTCTTCCATATTAGATCCTAGGCAAAAGTATGAAAACACATTTATGTTAGTTGACATTTACTTTCAATGCATGTCTCTTGACGATGATGTAGAAAACTATAAGACTAATGTAAAGGATCAGTTTTTTGCTTTATATAGAGTCTATGAAGCCAAATATGGCACCGTTCCTCGCTCAGGGCTTTCCCAACCATCCAAAAACGTAAGTAAGAAGGCCAAACATTTATTTTCACAAGCTACTAACTTGATTTCAAGGTTTTCAGGTGATTCATCAATCAGAAGAATGCAAAGCGACGTCTCGGAGTTGCAAATGTACCTGAGTTACGACTTCACCAAAGGCATGGACGACGATAAGATAAACAGCCTCGACCTCCTTGCATGGTGGAAACAACAAAGCTCGAAGCATCCAACTTTGGCGGCAATGGCACGAGACATTCTTGCTATCCAAGTTTCCTCCGTCGCCTCCGAACGAGCTTTCAGCGCATCCAGAAGGGTTTTAGACGATAGAAGAACAAGTCTAAAACCCGAAACACTAGAAATGTGCGTGTGTTTCAAAGATTGGTTGGATGCGGAAAATCGCTCACAAGACCGTTCTTACGACCACAACGACAACGAAGAAGGAACCTCCGCTTCCGGTTCGGGTTCGGCTAGTTCCCAATCTATGCAACTAGCCGATGACCTTGAAGGCGAAGGCGAAGACGAAGACGAGCAAGAAGAAGGAGAAGAAGAATAGACAATTATTGTATATTGTACGATTTTAATCATTATCAAATATCAATTTTATCATTTTCCAATTTTTGTTTAATACCATCATTGTACGATTTTTATCATTGTTATCATTGTACAATTTTCTCAACTCAAGTAATAATAATATAAAGTACGCATTATTCACATCCAAAGTCCAATTTGCCTTTTTTCCCCGTTTTGTTACAATTTGTAAATTCATATTAAAAAAAATAAAATTATACCAATTACTAATACAAAATTATATTTAATAAATCATAAACATTAAATTTTAAAGTAATAGTATAAAGTAAATATATAAATATAAATATTGAATATACAAAATTATAAAACATAAATATTCAACTTATAATTATAAAATTTATAACTTAATAACTTATAAGTTATAAACTTATAACCTTATAGCTTATAAAACTTATAATTATAATTTTATAACTTATATACATTATAATACTTATATAAGTTATAATGTTGTCACTTAATTAAAAAAAAAAAAAAAAAATTGGAAACTGCCACCAGCCCGCAGGCCGGCACGGCACGAGCCCGCCAGGCACGAGGGTCGTGCCAGGCCGTGGGCTGGCCTGTGAGAATGGTCGGCATGGCACGACACGAATTCCTGGGCACGGCACGCTGGAGCCCGTGGCCTGCCAGGCACGGCCCGCGGCGGCACGGCCTGGCACGATGCCCAGGTTTACATACAACCATAGAAAAAAAAACATGACCGAATTTACCTATATGCAAGCTCCTTCAAGTTTTCATTCCAGCCTTTAAGAAGCTTATCTAGAAGAGCATGGGATAAAGAGCTTATCTGGAAAACATCTATTGAGCCCAATACCATCTCCAAGAATATAACTCCAACACTCCACATATCATACCTACCAAAAAAAAATACCTTAGAACAGATGCATCTGAAAAACAATGTAATGAATTTATGTGTTTCATCATTGGGTTGTTCCAATATTGAGTGTTGTAATTATCATAAAGGCATGAACATGTAAGTTGACAAATATTAAATTGCTTCTAGGAGCATAGACTTCCACTTCAGCTATTTGGGAATTGCATACTTGGGATTTCTGCTTGTAGGTTCCTGAAACCAACTTGTATTCAATAAAGCTACTAGGGGAGTGTATTCAAATATTTGTTCAGCTCCATATTGAAAAAAGTGAAAATATGTAAGCCATAACACTAGAAACTGCAGTAGTGTATATTTTTTACTACAATTCTCACAAAGTCACAAAAACCCTTAAATATAGGATTGATAACATGTGGATTAATATAATCTTTTATATTTTCTCTCATAATAACACATAGTTCAACACAAAAATAGTGGACAAATGAAGATATGCATTTCACATGTGATTTTAATGCAGTTGGCAAGGATAAAACCAGCCGTTGATATAATAAAAGAACATATCAAATTCACATAATAATAACTCAAATGATGTAGTAATATGTTATCAAACGACTAACATTTAAACATACTATCTAGATTCTGGAAATCTGTATCACAATAACTTAACAAGAAAGTTAGATTTAGTGTTTATTCTATATGTTGTAGCAACTCCCCCCCCCCCCCCCCCCCAAAAAAAAAAAAAAAAATCTAACAAGAAAGTTAGATTTAATGTTAGTAATGCAAACAATATCTAATTAAGCTTAGTAGCACCTACAAGAACTAATATATTTAGGATGAGAAATAGATTCCCTCTAGTCTCAAAGAAATATTAATATATGGTCCTAACTAGGAAGGGAAGAGAAAGCAGTAACAAAAATACATATAACCTATGAACTTTAGAAACCAGACATGAACTATAACTGTGAACAACATTTCTGATCTTAATTGAAAATCAACTAAAAAGAAATGCAAAGATTTCAAGTTTGGCAAGTACCTAGACAGGCCTTTAAAAGGTTTAAACCCGTATAAACGCCTCATGGTGAAGTCATCGATTGCACAATTTGCATTACCAAAGTATGACAAACTAACACACCAAAGGCATGTCAAATATCGTTTTTAAACAATGATTGCTGGAATTCACATAAAGATTAGACAGACAAATCAACTTCCAACGAATTCAGATTGAGCACAACCAAACTAAAACTAAAAATAACAATGATATAATCAAACAATACTAGAGTATTTTGTCAAATCCATATCTCTAAGTAAAGCCTTTAGCTACAAGCCTTGCCTAGTATCTCTCAAGAGAACCATCATCTTTTAACTTTACATCCTTCAACATTTTCCCAAAACAAATTGTTAATGATCATTGTATCTGCAAGAATATGTTTTCTTTGACCTCCAGGAAATCATCTTTTATGTAGAGGAGTACACACGATATTACACCTGCATCATACAAAATTATGCATTACAGTCAATTATCTAAAAGAGAGAGTAACTTTGATTGTTGTGTAATTCCACCAATAAGAGAGAGAGTGCAAGAGAGAAGAGAGAAAGATTAACAACCAATAATAATTGGCAGATTCAAATACTCAATGGCTTTTCTTTAAGTCATCAATAGTTCAAAAATCAGCAATGTATCACCCTTTTTTTCTACAAATATAGATAACAAGCTAAGCATAATCAACTCAAAATATCTAAACCTACTCCAAAATTTAAAAGCCCACATCACAAATTAGAGGCCGAATACATTCACTCGAAAAAGTGTTTTTTTTCATGGGAAAGTTTTGAGGGTCACAACTCACAACTTTCTAAAGAAAAAGGCACCATGTTATACCAAGGTGAAATAAGAAATTCATCCATACAGGGCAATAATTCTTAAAAGAAAGGCGAAGAGAATAAACACCATTTTTCAGAATTCCCATATCTTAAGTTGCAGAATCACATCAAGCTAAGCATTGGAAAATACATGCCCACGCCTTGCCAAGACCCTAAGCAAATATTTAAGTAAAAAAAATCCTAATGTGACCCACAAAACTTCACATTCCCTTCTGATGGATCAAGAAATTAAGTGGACATAGGACGAAATTACATCAATCAAAGCAAAGATAAATCACGTGAATGAGAGCATGATCAAGTCAAATTCTGATAATGATGATACAAATGGAAGCAACACGGTACCAAGTTTGGAAAAGTCAGCCGAGCAATCAGCAGAGTACCAAAATAGTCCATGTGCCTTTGTTGGAATTTAACTATGTTCAAGGTAAGAGGAATTGAATAAAATGGAGTAGTCTGGGTTTTCTGTTAACAAATCCTTCAAACCCAGTAAAGAAAAAGAACCTTACTTTGTATATCTATTGCAACTGAAAAAATAATATTAAGGACAACATAAATCAGTAGAGACTGAAAAGAGGGCATACAAATTCTACGGGTAGGGTCCTTTTTGGTTCTATTGCCAAGATGCTTATTTTAGTAAATAATCTTAATCATCAACATTTATATATGGTTTGGACGGTCAAATTGTGTTAATTTCAAGTAGTGTTTGGGTAGAGAGATTGATTCAAACAGGGTAAGGAAATTGGAAAGATATTTAGGATATCGACAGTCATCTTTAATATTATCAAAGATCATCCCAGAATGAAAGCAAAAGTCAGTCTCCATATTTAGCTAAGAAGATTCTCCTAATTTCAAAGATTTTGTTTGATAAATTTATATATTGTACCAACTCAAAACAAGGGGACATCTCCACTCACCACAAGTACTATCAAGACGCCTAGGGAGAGCATGGGGGACGCCATGAAGATCTTCTGATTATGACTAAAAGTATCCTCATATTGCTTAAGGTTCTCATACAAATAGTAACAGCCAAAATTACCTTGCTTGCTTCCCACCTTAAGAAAAAAATGACAATCAAAACTTTATTAGAAAATTTTGGCCCATAGATAAGGGAATCGAGAAATACTTAATACTAAAATTTTAATTATCTTTACTAATTTAATGACATAAAATAACGGGTTTCAGAAAGAAAAGAAAAACACTTAATAAAAGCACATAGCCAAATACTACTTTTATCTTTTGGGGAACGGTAAAGGATTAATTAGTACCTAGAACATTAATGCATATAGGCTACAGCATTAAGGTTTCTCCTATTCAAATTTAGTAGCAAAAAGAAAATGGTAAGATGATCAAAGGATTACTAAATCTAATTTTGTTATGTATTCATTAGGCAAAGTATATCACTGAAGAAAATTTCTAAAATTTACCCATTAACAATTCATGTTCTGTACTAAAACAGTTAACTAGAAAGAAAATACAACAAATATCAAGTTACAAACATTCTAAACAAACTCATATGTACTTTGTACACAATAAACTGAAAGGTAGCTAAGGGCAATGAAATTTTCAGTTTGCAGTGATGATGAGTGCCATTTATGGCACTCAAATGGTATTATTTTGGGATGATTTTAGTTGCTTTAATAGCTTTCTTTATGTTTGTTCCCATAGTTTTAGTCTTTTATTCTCTAGTTGGTCTCATTCTAGTCTTTTCTACCTTTTTCTTGTATTTTTGTGGATTTTATCATCTTTCCCTTTTTACCTGTTTTCCTTTCTTTATTTTAAGGTTTAAGGTGAAGTCCAAGGCCCTTCATGGTGATTCCTCGGGTTAGAAGATGCTCAAAGTGCAAGGTGGAAGCTCTCATATAGCTCATAAAGCAAGGGATGGCTTACTCTAAGACTTGATGCTTGCGCCCTTATGCTGCACTCACATGAAAGTATGGTGTTGAACCCACCGTAAACTCATTTTGGGACTACCATCCCCAATGACAATCAAGAGGAGCGCACCTCTTGCATTGAAGAACGCACGGAGGAAGTCCCCTGTTCTAGTGGCGCGGGCCTGAGCTCCCTATTCCGTACCCCATTTTTCGCGACCGCGCCATCCGGAGAGAGGGCGCGCCTGTACAGGCTTCTTTTGGACGTTCACTTTATTTCTCCTTAGTTAGTATTCTAGAAAAAAAGAATTCATTGATATATTTGGAGAGAAGCTAGGGAGAGAAGTTTTTGGAGTTAGTTTTCTAGTTCTTAGATTTTAGAGAGAGAAACTTGAGAGAATTGGATGATTTCTACATTTGATTTCCTTCTACTTTGAATGCAACCACAGTTTCTTTGATTTGATCAAAGTTTGTAAGACTCTTCTTCTTCTTCATTCAATCTTTTGCATTTGATTTCAATTAATTGTTGCAATCTCAAGTTCATTGATTGGTTTGATTCCTTATTGTTTGTTTTGCAATGATTATGATGATTTTGATAATTAGTTTAGTTTGGTTCTTCAATTTCAACATGCTTAGTGAGTAGATTCCTTGCTAGGGAGATGGTGAAGCATGAATGAATGATGGATTATTGCTAATTGATGGATTTTGATTGATTGAATGTTATGATTAAATTGGTTGATAGAATTGTGCATGTGGTTGAATTGTTAAGGAGTAGCTAACCTTGATTTTCAAGCTAGATTGCATTGTGATTCTTAATGACACGAACCATTGATTTAGGGATTGCAATTATTGATTGAATTTGATTTGTGATTGTTCTTGCTAGTCATTCATACAGGAAACCTAGTTTGACTTCTAGGAGATAACCCTTTGAGTTATCTTGATTGCAATTACTATCCTCCTTTACAACATTTGGTTGATTAATTTCCCCTCAATTGGCATAACCATCATGATTGTATGTGGATCCTATCCCTAGTTCTTTTGATATTGAATTCCCTCTTTAGTCTAGTTGTTTGAGACCATAGTTAGTCATATTCAACATCCTTCTTATTCTTCGGAATAGCTTGACCTTAGGCTATAGTAACCTATCTCCCATTCCTCGTGGTTCGACCCTTGGCTTACCCTATACTTGGTTTAGGATTGGTCGAGTGTTTATAAATTTGTTGATAAGGTTTTAAGCATTTAACGATGTGTTTAGACCCTCTATCAAGTGAACATATTTATATGTATGGTCATGGCACTAATGAGAAACATACAAAAAAATATATAGCAATAGCGTGCAGCAAATAAAAGTATTTTAGTTAGTGGTTTTAGGAATTACTTTTGATTAGGTGATACGACTTTAGCCTGTCAACAAGCAGCTAAAACAGATGTGAAGAAAAATTACTAATTAATCATTGTCGTTGGTGTTGCTATACATAATGCATTTTCCTTCTTATCTAGTAATGGAGCTATACATAATGCATTTTCCTTCTTATCTAGTAACATTTCCAAGTAAATGAACTTTTCTTGCCAGTGTATCATTGTCATAAACATTTTTAAAGGAGTCCTCCATGATGGAGATTTTTTTCAAAATAAGAACCTCTACAAAGAAAATAACACAATCCTGCACAAGAAACCCTGAGTCTTGATCTAGTTAGTGTAACAAATTCATGCCAATCCTTGGCAGCTTTGGAGTAGCGATTTTGAGATTCTTTAGTCACATATTTCTTCTCCATCTTCTGATTCACAACTGATAGTCTAATTAACAAAGAAATTCCAATCACTAGAGGTATTTCGTGAATTTGTAACCTCAAGAAAAACAGAGAGATGACAAGGAGACTGAGACTGCCTGATAGCACAAGAGTGTAAGATTTTGAGGGAATTAGGAAGATAATACCATCACAAAGTGTAAGGTTTTGAGGAAATTGGGAAGATAATACCATCACTAAAATTTAGAGCCTAATAATTTGAGGAATGAAATAAACTTGAAATACCTAAAAGGCCAGTAATATACACTTGCACCCACATCCCCCTCCAAATAATGCAAAAGGACATGAATTGGGAGGAATGACACTTCAAATCACAGGTTCATAAGGTTGGGTCCATGACACTTTCCACTAAAAGTTTTGAATGTAAAATAAGTTATTAAATAACTCCTCACAATAGTTAGTAATATATACAACTGATTAGGAAAAGATAAAGCTTGCATCTTGTTGGCATAAGCTTAATAGTTATTGACAAACATCTTTGAAGAATATTTTACATGAACATGATTTGAAATACCGAAAAAGGTGAAAATCATAATCTGTCTAATTCAAATAGAACATTAAGATATAAGATTTCCCACAAACCAAACAGGGCCTTCATATGCATAAGCACATCAACATCAAAACAGAAGATATATATGAGAAGCTCAAAAAAAAAAAAAAAAAGTTGTGAAGATTATAGACTCACATGCCTCGAGGATATAAAATAAAGCAATAGTCTTGATTGCCAATATGAAATTTCCTACTCTTAATGCAGAGCTTGGTTATCTTTCTTTTCTTCATTAGGTCCTAGAAGCTCCTTCAATCTGGTAAGATTATCAATCCTCCAAGTGATGAACTTCCCACTATGGCTATCTGACTTCCTTGAGCCACAACTTGCCGTCCTCACTTCTAGAATAGTCCCATTCTTAGAAAAACTATTAAACTCCTAACAAAGTGGAACGAAGTGCTGAAAACCTCATTATCATCTACCTAAAACCCCTCCGGCATACACACACACAAGTTTTCATTTTATATATACATGGTTTACATGGCTTTCAACGATCTAAACTATTAGCTAATTATTTTCAGACCTTAAAACATAACACTACCTTTAGCAAAGCTATCTGACCACACAACAAACACTCAATACCTTTTATTCTCAACAAACATCAGTTCATCACCATAACTACAAGCACAAAAGTGAATAGCCCAGTGGCACAGTGACACCTAACAATGAACATTATTTTCAGAATAGACCTCATTCTTAAATTGAACCTAAATTTCTAGAACCATAACTTATTATACCAAAACATGGTCCATTGACCATTATAATTGTTGATAAACATTTCTTCGCAACTTTCTAAATAGTCATCCACAACTAACCTCTCTATCTCTCACCCCGTTAGTGCTCTCATCGGCCAAGAGAAATATTTGTCAGTTAATTATGTAGAAAATACTTGTGGTAATCATCTTACTATAGTTGCAGTTCTAGTTTTCTTCCTTCAACATAATTTTTTTGTTTACTATTTTTTTTTAAAAATAAATTGGGTTCATTTTATGTGGGTATGGTTGTTTGTGTGGTAATTATATCAACAACTACTTTGGTAAAAAAAAGTACCAAGAAAACAGCAAATATGTCGAATAATAAAGATACAACAGAAGAAAGAAAAAGAAAGTGAGGACTGAGGAGTGAATGTAGATTACCTAATCTGCAAAAGCTTTGGAGAACATCATTCGATGCCAAGGACATAGTTACGACATCAGATGAGAGAAGATAACCTCCAAAACTTGCAACATCATATCCCACATCAAGAATAGTCCCCAGCTTGTCTTCATGGTTAATGACATTAGTTGAGCACCTGCCAATACAGAACACATTTGCATTCAAAACTCAGATATTCCATTCAATCATTTGAAAAAAACGGTAAGCCTATTCTAGATTTGTGAAATGGGTATTAAACCTATGACTACAATATTCTTATTCAACCATAAAGTTAACAAATAAGGTGAGCTTAGCTGTGCCTAAACCATGGCTACAATATTAGAGCTCAACCATCAACTAAGCATTCTTCATACATATAATTGAACAATGTCAGAAACCTCCGTCTACCATAGGCCTTAGTGCCTTACAAAGCTATAGAAGAATATGAAAGACTACATATACATCCACAAACAGTAATCAAGACATATTATGCTTCAATATTAACAGAAAGAGCAGTAAAAAGCTACTATTATTATTATTATGAACATAAGGACACCATTAACTTTGGATATAAATACATATATAACACCAAAGCAAAGTAAGAAATGCTATTCAGAAATGAAGGGCTTACGTTTGCCATTGCAGCAATATACTTGCCAACACCATAATGAAAGTGAGTGCCTCCACCAGGAAATTAGCTTTCCACACTTTATCTCTACTTTTAGGCCCCTTAATCGAAACCTACATGGTTAGAGGAGCTATATAAATAAAATTTACAGATATACTATCTCATAATAAAGATAAAGGGGCAATCCTCACTTTATATCCATGTGGCAGAGGAATCAAACAATTATAGCGCCTTTTTAGAGGATGGCAATGCCTTTCATAGTGTTCCATCAAAGGTAAATCCAACTTCAATCTCGGTTGGTGTAAAAGATGTATGTCCGAACATGGAATCAATTCTGAAGACCGATCATTACAGACCTTAAGGATTAGAAGCAAACAAAGTTAAGTAGTGTACAACCTCTTCCGGTTTCTTTTATAAGTTGTGTTACTCAGACTTGACCACGGTGGACATCATATAAACACAATTACAATTTAACTATTTTCTAGAAATCAGACGATCATGACCAAATCCTCTATTCTTATTTTCCCTGTATGCAAAACACAAGACTTTATAGTGTTTTTTTTCTATTATGGATTTATTAATCAGGCATCTGGAGAATCTGATATTGTGACCAAGATCAGCTCATCAGTCTTATTTACTGTACCTACAAGTGTGGTAAGTAGCTCATACACAATTTAATTTGTAAAACAGTTAATGAAGACAAACTTCCAGCTAGTTCTAAGACTACTAACTTTGAAAATTCATTTAAAGTTCCAATCGATTAAGTAAGCATACAAGTCACATGAAACTAATATACCTTTAATTCCAGGCTTAAAGCAATAGTATTAGCTAGATAAGTTATAATTAGTTATTATTTCTCAAATGTTTTTTTCCCTACCTAAGAAATGACTATATTTTCCATTTGAATACATAGTCCATGATATTTCTTTTTTCTCTTCTTTTTCACCTCGTAGAGTCATAGAACTATTTAGATAAAAGACCATAATTCTACTTTTTTAGAGCTCTGTTACTCATTATCTTTCTCCCAGATAATTACATCATAATAAAATATCAAAACCATAAGAAAAAAAAGAGGTGAATTCAATTAACTGCTCACCCTCACTATTTCTCAAGATACCACCTCCACCTCGGGACCCTGGTAGCAAAGAAGTCATTAGATTCTGACCATTGTTTATCTACTCATTCTTTTTATCTAAATTCTAGTTGAGAAGGAAATTAAAGCTCACTTCTACAGAAAAAATTCCAAAAATAAGCAGCTGTAAAAGGTATCATTAAAGAAAAAAGAATATATTTGGAATGAACTATAAATTTTTCTTCTACAAATTAGTTATGATTAATCAAAGTTCATTTAGAACCATTAACCAAAAGAACAAATATATAGTACAAGTAAAATCAACCTTCAGTGATTAGGCATCCAAGACCATAGATACCAGTTGGATGGAACTGCACGAATTCAAGACCCTGTAAAACAACAATTAAGCTTAGATTTTGAACTTTAAAGCCACAAAAAAAAAAAAAAAAATTAATTAAACACTAATGAGCTGAAATTTCGAGTTCAATTAAGCTTTGATGTTTTTCGTTGTCTTTGATCTTTCTCCCTCCTCCCTTCCTATTTATTTTCTGGAATCCTCTTGCAATTTCCATCCCAAACTCCAGATATTCATGATTTCTCTATTTTTTAAAAACTTGAGCCCCAAATATTATAATCTTACCCGAATTCAAAGAAACTTAAGCTCTGATTTCATCCACGTCGATTTTCTAATTACACTGGGTTTTAGTTCCCCCCCAACTGTACTTCTTGATAAATCAAATAATCAAACCAAAATAAACAACCACATTCATTCAACTTATCACGCATCAATTTTCACATAATTCCATTATCTTAATTTGCATCACTCAATTCCCAAATCACAACCTTCCATTAAACAAAATTCCACCAGATTAGTATTGTCATGACTAGTATGATATAATGCCTGATTTTGCAAGAATTCAAATTGTGTATGATGACAAAGAGATTTAAGTGGAAGCTTGATTTTGCAGACATTTGTTGTCAATATTTACACTGGGTTTAGTAATAATCTGATTTCTCACTTATTTCTAATTTTTTTAACTTAAAAGATGATTTTATAATGAATCAACTAGAAAGTTAAAAGCAGAAAGAGATTCTCCCGAATATAGTTTAATATTAATTTCTAATTTGAATGTTATTTACTTCAATACCTCAGGAATCATTTTGCAACCTTGCACCTTATCAGTTACCCAGAGTTCCCATGCTTCTGGTTGTTAAGATATAAGTTAGCAGAAAAAGATGCAGATGAATAGAAAATATAATTACCAAGGCCATGTAGCTTGTAAACCTTTAATTGCCACGGTCCCAACAATAGCACCCCTTCAGTGACCTTAGTAAACATTAGTCATGCAACAATCAAGCACCAAATTACAGAAAATGCAAAGTTCAGATACTGCTATCAAAATCAATTAAAATAGAGAAAGGATGCTGACCTTGAGGACAGAGAAAATATATAGAAGTCCCTGACACCGCCATGTGGAAATTCAAAGAGGTTGTGGTAGCTACCATTGAAACCCTCCTTAGTATGTACTCTATTAGGAAAAAAATGTTTATAGCTAGGAAAAGGTTGAACTTAAAACCATAGGAAATCTATCAGTAATTTGCATAAATTAGGATGTCACATGCTCCAAATCTATTTCTTTAAAAATCCATTAATCAATATAATAACTTCATAGTTTTTTTAAAATCAATTTTATATAGCTGCTTTCTGATGATTAGTAACTTGATAATATTGTTATGGTTAGTATGATATGATTAGTATGATATGATGCTTGATTTTGCAGGGATTCAAATTGTGTATTGTGATAAGGACTTTTTGTGAGAACTACCTTATACAAGTCAGTTTTTGTGAAAAACTACTTTATTAAAAAAATGTTGTAAGAAACTACCTTTTAAACAATAGATGTTGTAAGAAACTACCTTATAAAACAATTAATGTTGTAAAAGCTATGTTTTTGCCGAATTGTTGCATTGAATAAGAGACGTTTAATGACCCATTTTCAATCATTTTTTCTCCTTTTTCCACCCAATTTCTCCATAGCCCCCTTATAGTCCCTAATTCCCCTTCTCTTTCATTGTTAAAATTAAGCACATGGTAGCAACTTACAACATTTAGTTTTTATAAGGTAGTTTCTTACAACAATTTTTTTATAAGGTAGTTTTTCACAAAATTTGATGTATATAAGGTAGTTTTTCACAAAAAGTCCTTATAATAAAGTGATTTAAGTGGAAGCTTGATTTTGCAAAAACTTGAGCTTTTTTTTTTGTCTATAAAGACCTAATAAACTATATTATTAGCCATTGGATCTCTGATAATCAAGTTGTGACATTTTTTAAACAATTGGTTTATTTTACGTTTCTTTTAACATTTGATGAAGGAAAAAACATAGAAACATAACAATACCTCAAATTAGAAAATGATCAAGGTTTCTTGTAGCTTGTGTGTTTTACCTCAATGATAAATTTTCAATGGCCACAACAATATTCCGTAAAATTTCCAGCATTAATAATAACTGTTTAAAAAGATGATTCAAGAGAAACTTCATAATAAAGCAGCCAAACGAAGCAATTGAATTATTCGAAGACTAATTTCTCAAATGGCAAGATACATCTTTTCATGTATCAATCTGTCAATATCCAAATCTGTCTAGCACAGTTTCACAAAGTTAATACATATACAAGGTAACTGTAGCTCTAGCTTTAACTTTTCATATGGGCATTAGTTTAAAAGAACATAATGAGAGCATTGATAGTGCAACAAAAAGTGATATAGAATCACAATTGAATGAGAACATAAATATAAGGTTACAACCTAACAATACGATTACTTATGCATAAAATCATATATTACCAGATATAATCCTTCCATCAAGGCAAGAACAACTCCTTTAAGCAATGTGACCAACAACCAAAATTCATCTTCCTTAGTCATATAAAGTAGTAAACCAGCTATGAACCCCATACCCTGCATTCCAGACAATAGAAACATCAATAAATCTATAGTTGACACATTGTACTCACTTGAAAGGATGTTACAAGACATAATAAACCTGAACATATCCAACATCTCTGTCATAAACATAATATGCTTTTAGAATGATGTAAAGTGATCTCTAACCAGGACCATGCTTTTGCTGGAAGAAGACATTAGACGGGAAAGTACGTGATATATCTTGAATAATGTCTAGCTCTGATGCCGAAGTATAATATATGACTAGTTGGTGCAGTAGAAAATAGTGAGTGACATCAACACATGTAGCATAATAGGGAAAATGAACAAAATGGAAGTGAAAAGAGCATTATCATCCAAAAAACTTTACAAATACTAAAACCAACTCCAAATATTGAGTTGTGAGGTACCAATTGGTTATAAAGTCAATTAATATACACACAACCAGATAATAGAAATCCATTGACATTCTTGAGTCAAAACAACAACATGCTTAAGTTTAAGAATTAGAGTTAACACATTTGACAAATGACACTAGCAACATAGATAAATAGGTAATTATCATAATTTGCTGATGTAACATAAAATTGACCTGCTAATCATCATGACACACACACATCTGAATTTTGTAAGGGTACACCCTACTCTACCTAAAAAAAGCAAAAGATAAGGCCCGTTAACTTTAGATCTAGCTCACTAACGCAAGAGCATTATAACAGTGACTTTCATGTCATCAAATGGGATCTACATAACTTTTGTGCACTACAGCTAATGAGATAAGCCAGAGATAAAATATACCACACTATAAAACAAATCAGACATTTCTCATTTAAGAAAAGGGGTCAAATTTCACTCAACCTTGGCAATAACCAAGAAATACAATACCTATAGTGTGGCAAAGGTGCTTGAAAAAAATCTGGAACTAAAGATAGTAGCACGTTGACGAATTTGAAACTGCAGATTGCTATAGACCACTTCAACATGGGTAGGAGAAAAAATAGCAGACTACGATGTCTCTTGATTTCATAGAAGACTATTTGGTAAACCAAATACTAGATAAGTAAGATAACTACTGATAGAAAAATAGGTCGATCCAAAAGATACCAAGAGATTCTTTAACAGCTACAAGATCAATAAGTCAATCACAGGAACTATCCCAAAGAACATTGGAATTGCTATACACATTAGATCTAAAGCTCAATCAAACAACAGTCATTGCCTCTAAACTCTTCCAAAGTACAATTAGTTTATAAAAGCTTGAGCCAATTCTATTAATTAAAATTTAAAATATTGAAAATAGAAATTCATTCCTAGCGATAATAGATTTATTTTCCAAATGACACAGAAAGATCATCATAATCGTACAACCTAGGGTCTAATTGGACCTTGACAAGTTTATTTCTCTCCATTATAAGATAAGATGAAGGTGATAAATTGTACGCATGAAACTTCTCGAAAATTCAGCAATAATGCCCAAAGTCCAAACCCAATGCCTTTATATAAGCTCCTTCTCTAAGTAAGGGGGTTTATTGTAAACAACCTTTTCTATGGGAAGTTTGATCAGGACATATACATGCTAAAGTATGAAGATTTTAACAGTTTATAATCCCCAAATTTTTATCCTTATTCTCTTTATCTTGCCTTGAGAATAAAAGTTTTACAAGTAATAAATAAACTTTAAACTTCTTCCGTTCATCCGCCTCTTTCCAACAACTAAAGTAGTTCTTTTTAACTTCCAAAATTTTCAAAAATACAAAGAACATAAAAGCCATAGATGAAAGCTTCTCCTTTTCTCACATCTTTCCCAACCCACAAAAGAATGCAGCACACACAAATGAAGCAGAGCACACACGAATACACAATCAACATTATGATGAAGCAAGATAAAGTATAAATGGATAAATCCCAATAACATTCATTAAAATCCACAAGAAGCATTCACACAACCATATCTATTCCTCAAATACATTCATAAAAATCCAAAAGAAGCATTCAAAAAACCATATCTTCCTCAAATACATTCATCAAAATCAACAAGATGCATTCACACAATCATATCTACTTCTCAAACACATTCATCAAATCAACAAGATGCAGCCACACAACCATCTGATCTATTCCCCAAATATCACCACGAGACCTTGCTAGGCATCAATTTACTAAGATACAAACATTCAATACTGCAATCTGCACACATCATTCATGAATAATATAAAGTACATAATTCAGCCTACCAAGCAAGCTAAGTATTCAAATAATCAAATATAGAAATGACAAAGAAAACAACTAAATATATAAGATTAGAGCAAATTTGACAATACTTAGAAAACAGAATATGTTGATAATGTCACTTATACACCTGAAAAACCACTCATATATTCAACAATGTTTCCATGTATAAACCAGACAAAATTCATCTTCACCACCCAATAAGTTTCAACCCAAAATATGTTCCATCATCATTGCTCATTTTGGCTCTATGCAAGAACTCTAACAAATCTCGTCTACATCGTTATCCTTTTCGACTCTCTTTACACCTTAACAATCAAATTAAAAATAGGATAACATCAATTGGGTTGATTTTTATCACCCAATAGCTCGGACCCTCTATAATTAGTAACTTCATAGCTCAAATTCAACTCAGAAAGCAACCCCATTTGATTACCAGCAACATTTCGAACCCTAAATTCCCATTGAAAAGACCCAAACCCGAGACCCAAGAAATCAACTCACCCACCTCTTTTTTTCTCAATTTTCTCTCTCTACAAGCAATCTGAGCCGACCCAAACAGGTTCAAGCGCTTCTCCTTGGAAAATTGCCCACATTTCTCCTTCGAACCTTGAAGACAAGCAACCATTTCTCTTTCCTCACACTCGCTTCTCTCTTTAAAATCGATTTGCATGCTTCAATTCTACACACTTAAATAATTATCGAGTATGCGAACATACCTCGAATATGATCTCAAAATCGCCACGTCTATATGAAATCACCCACTTGGAAGTCTCCTACAACCCACAAATACCAAGAGACATTAATACCTATTCATATTAAATTTTCAGCAGTATATACACTCTTTAAAACACTTTTAAACCTTCTAAAACATGCTGAAAATTACTTAAAACCACTTACTTATATTCCCAATTAATGGGTAATTAAAATACTTTCAAGAAAACTTAATTCTAGCCTTTACATAAAAATTCTAGCAATATAAAAACTCTTAAACTTGCTTTAATTTAGTTTAAAAACACTAATTTCAATAGTTTTAATCAACCATGATTAACTTCCTTCATTAATCATCAATTTAGAAACCTAGGGTTTAACAATTTGGGGTTTTTCACACAAAACCAAATTTGAAAATTATATACATATTAATAATCATTAAAACATCATAAAATCATCACACACACCCAAGATCAACAATTAAACAAAGCTAGATTAATTTAAAACAAAGAGAAGAGTTTTTTTTATACACCACCGCACGCATGCACACCAGGGAGGGGCTGCTACCGGTTAATGCTTTTGGCGGTGGCCAGCCGGTGGGAAGTGGTGGTGGTGGTGTCCGGCCACCCTAGTGGTGCGTGTGTGTGTGAGTGTTTGTGTGGGAGAGGGGAAAAATTAAGGGAGAAAGAAAAATAAGAGAGAGAAAGAGAGTTTACCTTTGGGTATTCTCCACCTTGTACAAAGTCTAATTTACTCGTAAGATGGGTATTTGTACTCCCTCTCAAACCCTCCTAACTTAATTTTCCTTTTTAACCTTAATGATTCTCATTCCCATTCAAATTGGTAATTGACTTTAATCAAATCCTTTGGACTTTAAAACTCCTTTATAAATCAAATATGCCCCAATGTTTCTAAATTAATGAAATAAAATATTTTCAAAACCAAATAAATAAATAGTAATGGGTTTTTTAATAAATAAACCTTTATAATTATTAAAATACCATAAATAATTCATTTCAAATTGTTTAAGCACATCATATAATAATACTTTAAATTAATATACGAATAAAAATACGTGGTATTACAGCCAGAGCTTATCTAAGGAATCATTCGGAAAAGCTAAAAGAAAACCCTTCTCATCCTCAATAACCCACCAGCCGGGACCGTCCTTTCTTGCACGGACGTTCACCGTCAACTTATGGATGCACTGAAATACGAAAATATTGGGCTTGAATCTGAGGAACAAGCACACCCACAAGTACGACATCAGCTTTCGAATACTTAGTGGGGTCAGCAGAGACAACGAAATGTTGTTCCCGTTTAGGGCCGTTGCAAAGACTTTGGAGGCCCTATTCTAAACTAAAAAATGGGCCCTTAATAATTCAAAAATTATACAAATTTTTATTTTTAAACCTATTATTTAGGCGGTACACAATAGGATTACCCATACTTTATATATTGGAAAAATAATTAGCAATTTGATAAGAATAATTATGAAAAATCAAAATTAATTGCTCAAATGCTCATTGCCATTGTTACGGAATACGAATCGTTTGTATTTAATTTGGCTGAAATCAACTTTTTTCCGTTGAAAATTTTGGAATGGAGAAATATGCATTACAATATCATGGAATTGAATTGATGTAATTGTGAAAATACTAATTTGAATTGATAGAAGAATATGGAAAGTGTTAGAAATTAATATGGGAGCACGGATTAATGGAGGAAAATGAGCTTCGGAATTGGTAATTGGTAAAATGTTGGGCATTACAAATAAGGAGGCTTCTTGCAACATTAAAAAAAATCAAATAAGAATTGAAAAAAAAATTAAAAAATAGGCCCTTTAATAATCAGGGCCCTGTGCCAAGGAGCTCTTTGCACTCCCTATTCTACGACCATGTACCCGTTCAGCACCCCAATTACAAAGGGATGAAGAGGCAGTGGCGAATCGAGCATTTTATATATATGGGTTCAAATTAAATCAAAATTAAATAAATTAAATTTTAATTATTTATAAATTAACAAATTACATGAACTACATATATATTATATTGCTTATTATTGACCCATATAATTATTTCTTCATCTTTCAAATATTTGTAACAAGAATTTATTTTACAAGAAAAAAAAATAAGTGGGGTCAATTGACCCCATGCATTACCTTGAACATAGATCCGCCCCTATGAAGAGGGAAGCGGAGCCCATACTCCAACTGTCAGACGTATACGCCGATATACCGGCAGGAGGATTATGAATCCAATCAGTTGGCTTCGGCATTCAACACCAATACCCATTCTCATCCATGATGCCGTAAAAAATTTTGATTTGCCCGGCAAAGTTGTACAGGGCGTCGTTATTAACCCACCAATCATAGGGGACAAAATTCAAGATGCCATTTGTAGGGAAGATTTCAACACTCAACTTTGAGCCTCACTGTGATCATGCACTTAAGCATGGTGGCGTCCAAAGGGAAAGAAGCTAGAGATAAAAGAGTCGCCAACAAGTTTTAGGAACTTGTAAATCGTTCACGGGTGTGAAGGTTACACCCCATTCACGATCACAGAGATCGCTAACTCCATAGTGGTCCGAAACCATGATTAGATATTCGGGGATAATGGTACGAATCCAACCTAAAAGAGATTGAACCCGCCCTAAATCGGTCTCCACTTAATTCTTATGATATTCATGTGCGCTTTTCGATCAACACACATTCATCAAATTAATCCTAAGCATATTTAATCTACGTTGGTTGATTATTAATGCACAATCAAATCTATTATTGGCGATCACTTGAATTAAAATCATATTAGCCTAAACCAAATTATTAATTATCTTATTAGGCGTGATTTCAAGTACAAATTCCCTTTAAACCTACAAAAAGGGCATAATCAAGCAATAACAATAAATCAAGAATAATCAAGCAATGTATAATTATTGACACAACAATCATAACAATATCCTCAAAATATAATTAGCAAGATCCTAGGCATGATAGTAAATGGATTAATAACAATCCTAGCATGTCACTAAATAATAAAGATCAAAGTTTTAGCCTAAACATGATATTAGAAAGCATAAAACATCCTAACATGAAACTAGAAATTAAAATAATATTCTAACATGATACTAGAAATCATTAAAACATCCTAACACGATACTAGGAATTAAAATAATATTCTAAGCACGATTTCTATGTCGAAGGAATTATTAAGTAATCAAATTACTTACTTTGATGCCTCATATCTCTTTCTATCAAAACAATACACACGTTAGTAAACTTCAAGAAAGGGTAAATCAAATAAATAAATCAAATAAGAATTAAAATATGGATTTGGGACCAAACCCTCAAAACTATCAACCTTTCACGTCGAGGTCGAAGGCAACTTCAAGAAGGGCTTGGAGTATTCAAGGCACGTGAAGGATGAATGGTGTTTTTTTAGCTAGGAAATTTATCAAATGATGTGATTAGGAACGTGTTTAGGCTAAGGCTAAGAAAGCGAGAGAGAAGAAGCTTTTAGCTTATAGAGAGGGGTAGATGATTGTTGGTGATCAAGCCTGTTGATGATTGAAAACGGGATGAAACAACCTCTATTTATAAGGAAAAACGAGGGTGAAAGATCAAAAAAGAGTCAGAATCCAACTCAGAGTAAAACAGGCGCTATCGCGACGCGATATTTTTAGAAGATAGAAACCGTACGGAATTCGACTTCCAATCAAATTTGGTTAATCGAATTTCCGTATGTATTCTAATTTTATCAGAATTAAAATCATTGAAAAACAAGTTTTTTATCCGATGTAAAATTCTTTAGTCTTTATCTTTTCAAAAATAGGATAATTAGAACCTTCTAGAGGATTCTAGAAGCTAATAATAAATCCTAATGGATTTAGGACTGAAAACAACCTTCTAGAAGATTCTAAAAACTTGTAATAAATCCTAATTGGTTTAGGAATGAGGTTAAGGTTAATGGACCTTCCACATGATCATTGGGTCGCAGGTAAGTATCGGTTTGGGCTCAATTTAGTATTTTGGCAATAACTTATTCGTTTTAAGTCAGATTTGGGCTTATAATATATCGTTGGAAAGCTCTTTTTAATCCTTATCCAACTATAAAATCATTGGACAGAGATCATGGACCAAAATAAACTGGTTTGGACGTTCTAATGAAATGGACATGAAACGAATGATTTTGGGTTTAAAGGCGCGAAATGAATGCTTTTGAAATAAAACATTTCAGGAAAGGTTAGAAATTTTCAAGGCTTAAGGGAATTTCACAAGCCTCTTCAACTCTTCACCTATCTCGATAATCAAAGACGTGAAAGGTACTTATCACTAGGTTTGGTTTTTGGGGAGACACAATCAGGTGTCTACAGAAGCCCCCACTTTGACTGAGTTTGGAGAAATGTAAGTTTTGAAAACAAAAGTCAAAGTAGATCGATAGGGATGGAGCATGATTCTGAACGTTCTGCAATCCTAAATCATCCTTTTTAATGTCGATACCTGCAGAAAAAAGTCAATTCTACAAATAAAGGAGTTAGAAACGCGAATCTTGCATCGTCGGGTACACGTCTCTGGGTGTTATCTTGTCGAATCAAAATTGTTTTGTTTGACAACCTCCACATTCTTAGGGAGCGCTGTCGATGTCCACTCGTCTCTGAACAAAAGAGCTTTGGAAGAATGTTCACTCGTCTCTGAACAATAGAGCTTTGGAAGAATGTTCACTCGCCTCTGAACAAAAGAGATTTTGATTAAATGTTCACTCGTCTCTGAACTAGGGAGTTTTGGATGAAATGTTCTCTAAACAAGGGAGCTTTTGAAGGGATGTCCACGCGTCTCTAAGCAAAAGAGCTTGAAAGGGATGCCCACAACGCGTCTCTAAGCAAAAAAGCTTTGAAAAGGATGCCCACACGTCTCTGAGCAAAAGAGCTTGAAATGAAAGTGTTCGATTGGATGCGAACAGGAGCTTCAACGCTTGTTGAGATTGTTAGGTTGGTTGCGAACAGGAGCTTCAAAAG